AGATGGCGAAGTCAAATTTGTTGATGCGCCAAAATTTGCGACCGTCCAGAATTTGAATGAAGAGACCCTTGAGGGCAATAAAAATAATAGCCCCTAATACAGCTTTCGGGAGTTCTGCGAAGAGACGGGAGATAAATAAAATAATGAACAACATGAGAATGGCGCTAACAATTCCATTGAGAGTTGTTCTAGCATTCATGCTGCTAGCAACCATAGACCTAGGAGGGGCAACACTCGAGGGAAAACAATAGAAGAAAGAGCTAAGTGTGTTACACAGACCATAGGCCAGCATCTCCTGACTGTCATCTACCTCGTAGTTGTGTTTCTTGGCACAGATTTTAGCCATGGCGATCGTGTTGGCAAAGATGAGGATTGCTAGAATGAAGCAGTCGACCGCATAGTTAGGAGCTCTTTTCAAACCTTCTAGAGGAACTGTTGGTGTAGGTATGGTCGAGGGAATCGTCCCCACCACGCCAACACCGAACTGTTCTCGGAAACTGCCGAAATAGGAGGCCATGGTCGCGAAAATGACCAGGAAGAGCTCGATAGGAATAGGAACATAGAGTCTGTGTTTGAATCTTTCATTGATGCACTCTTTCACCAGCCAAATAATAGCACACGAGACAACTGAGCAGATGATTGCGGCCACGTTTGCGCTAGTAATGTTACTGAACAGGGCTATCAAAGTGACCACGATCTTAAAAGCGCCACTGCTTCGATCAATCTTGATGCCCAGCATAGCAGGGAGCTGGCTAACCCCAATGTGGACGGCAGCCGCGGAGGTAAAGGCGGTAAAGAAAGACTCTGACAGATAGGCTGTGATGAAGCCAAGTTTCAGGAAACCCATAACTATCATCATGATGCCTGAAATCAAAGTCACACCCATTGCCAACTCCACTTTAAAGTCGAGGTATTCTGGAATATCGTCTAGCTTGGTTCCGTTGATTGTCTGGTTCATGATCCAAGGTTTATTGGCTGCCCACGCTTGCCCTTCCCTGTCCACTGTTGCCGCGGTTAGAATAGAGATGACCGCGCTGGTTCCCATGGAGACGTGGGCGGATGTCCCAAAGAAAACGTAAACAATAACTGGCCACAGGGAAGTGAACAAACCGTTCTCGATTTTCACTGACGATAACTGACCAAAGGCCAGCGCTTGAGGAATGTGAATGATGCCAACGGTCAGTCCTGCCATGAAGTCGGTCAGGGCGTTTTCTCGGAGCTTGTAGTAGCGGCAGTATTTGACCAGTGGGATGTATGTGGTGGTCAGCTTCCATAGTCGTCTGTTGGAGCAGTACAGGTTCCGCTTGATCCTTTCCAGGACGGTGGTCTTTGGGGTCTGTTCCTTCTTCAGATGCCATTCGTCAAAGGCGTTCTGTGTGAAAGGAGGTCTTGCCACCAGCACCTGTAGGAAGTAAGATGGCTACATGAGTTGTTGCATACATACAATAATGCTAGGCTAAACAGTGAAGCATCTTAAACTCGCCTCGTTCCAACAAATCCTAATCACTTTGCACCGTATCGCACACATTATTTCGTAAAGACTTTGACACAGGATGTTACAAGAAAGCTAAAACAAGACTTGACACATAGTCTTACACATGATTTCAATCAAAATCAAAAACGGGATCTGACAAGGATCTGACACCAGATTTGACACAGCATTTATCACAGAACCTGACATGAGATCGGACACAGAATTGTACACTAGATCTAACACGAGATCCGACACAAAATCTTACACAAGATCTGACACATTGTTTGACAAAGAACTTAAAACAAGCTTGGACACGCACGGAATATCACAAAAAACTTCACACTAGATCTGACACAGGATTCGACACAAGATCGATACACAATCTGACACCTGCTCTGACACAGAGCCTGGCACCAAATATGACACAGAATCTGACGCAGAATCTTACGTAAGATCGGACACAGGACCTGACACAATGCGACACAAGCAACTGGCACAAGATGGGACACATGATTTCACACAGGACCTGACACAATGCGACACAAGCAACTGGCACAAGATGGGACACATGATTTCACACAGGACCTGACACAATGCGACACAAGCAACTGGCACAAGATGGGACACATGATTTCACACAGGACCTGACACAATGCGACACAAGCAAATGGCACAAGATGGGACACATGATTTCACACAGGACCTGACACAATGCGACACAAGCAAATGGCACAAGATGGGACACATGATTTCACACAGGACCTGACACAATGCGACACAAGCAAATGGCACAAGATGGGACACATGCTTTGAAACATAACATGACCTATGATGTGATGATCAGACAGGTGTCTCGCAGAGGTTTCCTCAAGGGATTATACACAGGATCAGACACACAGTTTGATATACACAGTTTAAAATCATCCGTACCTGTGTTCCGGGACCGGAAACCGAAGGACACGAGGAACGTCTGCGTTTCTGGCCCATGAACTGAGCCTGACCCTTGAGACTGTCCTCGGCACTCATGACTGCCGCTCACCTCTTTGGGGGCGTGTCTTCCCACAGGAGCTGACAGAACAGAGACAGAAAAGTATGTAGCAGAACATGCTTGTACATGATTGTTCGTTTCATTTGTCATAGAGACATCTATCTTCTGTCTGATTATATGTTTTACAATCTTTTCTTCTGTTAACCACATAAGTTAACATTTAAGGGTGTGCTCAGGCGCTTGGCACTGCAGCCAGTGGTGTTTAGGTGGCTAACTTCTCTTCGGAAAGTTGAAAAGTGAACTTTAAGTGGCCTGCCAATGACCCGTAGAGCACCCAGGTCAACCCCACCTTCTCGTGGTGAACGCCGGACCAGACTGCATATGAGACTTTTTACAGTACAACATCTGGGAGGAAGATAAGAGGAAGAACAAGAAAGAGATGGATAAATGTTGTAGATAAAACCTGCAAATACTTGAACAAATCCATCACTCAAGCGACCCGAGAAGCGCAAGACAATTACAGAGAAACCACTTCACTGGGAAACAACCTGGTAAAAGTGAGACGACAAAACCACTACACTGGGAAACAACCTGGTAAAAGTGAGACGACAAAACCACTACACTGGGAAACAACCTGGTAACAGTGAGACGACAAAACCACTACACTGAGAAACAACCTGGTAAAAGTGAGACGACAAAACCACTACACTGGGAAACAACCTGGTAAAAGTGAGACGACAAAACCACTACACTGGGAAACAACCTGGTAACAGTGAGACAACAAAAGAAGAAGAAGAAGAAAAAAGAATCATAAAAGTAGCAGTCAATTCACCGGACGTTCGTTTGAGTGCTTGATACATCGTTCAGGGCTGTTTGGCGAGTTAGGGAATGTCTACCCAGCATGCAAAGTCTGGGTTCTGCGAACTGTGTGGATGAAGCCACTTTGATTCACCGGACAATATGACGACTACCAGCAGACTCTGTGGAGAGCCTTGAGCACTGCAGGGCACCAAAGAAGCCAAGGTCATCCACTTTACCCAAGTTCATCTCCAGACGTCTTGAATCGACTTGCTACACCAGGCCTATTGAACAACGTTGAAAGGTACGTACATGTTATGAGTTGGAGATTCAACATATCATGTATCATTATCATGAGGTCCAAGTATTTCTTTACCACGACAGAGCACAATATAGCTCCTTCAGCCGTTGTTAATGAAGACAACGAAACCTAAAACCTCAGAAATTTTCATACTGAAAAAAAAAAGGAAACCAGGATAAAGATCCGAGCTCCTATATAAGATCATCCAAACAATTCCTTTGGCATTGAGCCGCGGGCAACTTGCTGCTCCTCTACTGGCCGCATTTACTCTGTAGGCCGCTAGTTGAATAGCCCTGGTTTGTTTGTTTTAGTATCCAGAAGCCATGAGTTGTTAACCCTTAGGCTCGGTATTATGGATATCAGCTTGATTCCATTGTAAATACCGTAAATCTGGGAAAAAATGCGGCTTTTCTGTCTCCCCCCGGGAGTGAACCTGGACCACAAGGAGTTCGTCACCCGCTCACCGCGCAATCCGGTTTAGCCAACTACGCTAGAGAGCAGGACAATAGCCCTGGTTTAAACCAAGTAAAATATATTTTGGATTTTCGTACCACGTTTCCGTCACCAGAAGGTCGAGAGAAATGTGAGTTTGTTTTGTAATTTATTGAAACAACAGCAACTTTTTACCAGCGGTCATGAAATTAGGCACGAAACCATTCCATCAGTGTATGTTGGACACGTTTTAGTGTGGATTAAAGGGGACAGTAAAACCACAAATGTACTTGCCACGTTTTTAGTGGATGCCACACAAGGGAAAGAACTTGACAAGACAGAACGGTGTGGATTATTTTTACATGAAATTTGTCTCCCCTAGCTGGAGTTATGAAGATAAATTTCTCCTGGTTAATATATGTTTAAAATCAGAAGTTGCCGTCCACTTATGTGCTCTCTCTCTCTCTCTCTCTCTCTCTCTCTCTCTCTCTCTCTCTCTCTCTCTCTCTCTCTCTCATGGTATTTACTTTGAGTAAAAGTAAGGTTGCCTGGTGTTGCACAATTTACTCCCTCCCTCCCTCTCTCTCTCTCTCTCTCTCTCTCTCTCTCTCTCTCTCTCTCTCTCTCTCTCTCTCTCTCTCGCCATTCTTATATTACAGTCGTTCCCATGTGGAATGCAATTTTTTGTTTCAAGCCCTATCCTCGCTTCTGCCGGGAGACCTGCATACAGCCGGGGCATAAATCTGGCTTAGCCATAGATATGGCCTAACGGCTGAAAGGGGTTACTGAGACCTCTCCACGGGTGATCCTCATCCGAATGGTGGACTTTGTGTCACCTGGTGTTTATCTCATGTGTGATGTCCTGGTGGGGTACAGCTACCTACCTACCTACCTCTCTCGCTATCACTAGACAAAAACTAACCTAGAGACTCTTGACAGAGTACAAAATAATGCCATCCGATTAATCTGCGGAGCTATGCAGTCTACACCAACTGCTGCATGTGAAATCCATACAAATGTGGAACCCCTCGGGTTGCGGAGAGAAAAAGCCACTTTAGAAATTTATGAAAGATGCGTTAGAAAGAATCGTAACCATCCTAATAGACACCTTGTAGAAAACTGGGAATACAAACAAAGAATAAAGCACAAATCGGTTTTACACTGTGTTAATGAAATTCAGGACAGATACCACCTCCCAGAAAGACGTCAAGAAATTCAGAATGTTGCAAAAAACCTACCACCACATGCTCGCTTTAAAGCTCCAGAATTCCGAATTAAATTGGTAGGCGAGGAAACCAAACAGTCTGACCCAATCGCTCTTATGAACTCATCACTAAAGACCATTGATTCTTACCCCCAAGAATGGATTCATGTTTATACTGACGAATCTGCATTTAAAGCTACCATTAAAGCAGGTTACGGAATCTACATAGGTTATCCCGATGGATCTGCTGAAAATAATTTTGATGCATGCGGGGAATTCTGCTCAAATTATGAAGCCGAAATAATTGCACTGTACTGTAATGGATGTTTACCCTTTAAAGGCCCAAAATATTGTCATCTTCACAGATTCAATGTCTGCCCTTCAAGCTCTGTAGGGTAGTGAACGCTGTAGAACTGACATAGCCAATATAATTCTGGATGCTGATCAGCTTATTACCTCATACAACATCAGAATAGTGATGCAGTGGATTCCAGGACACTCCGGCACACAGGTAATGACAGAGCTGACAGATTGGCAAAGAAAGGAGCAACACAAGAACAACCACCTACAGCGACAACCCTCCAGACAGCAAAAACACTGATAAGAGCTATAAACAAAGAGACTTGGTTGAACAGATGGGCCATGGGAGACATTGGAAGAGAGGTTTATAGACATATGGCTGGCCCTGATCCTAATGACAGCATTAACGATCTAACAAGAAGGGACCAGGCCACTATCTTCAGACTTAGAACACAACATACTCCACTCAGTGGACACCTAAACAGAATACAGCCACAACACTCCCCAGAGTGCCAGCTATGTAACTACCCCTACAAAACTGTTGACCACCATCTCTTTGAGTGCCCAAAACTCAGCGAGACTAGAAGAATGCTACTCCCTCTGAGACCAGACAAGGGGAACACCTTGTACGGAGGAAAAGAACAGCTTGTGAGAACATGCAAATTCCACTACATGGCATTGGGCCAAAGGGCGAAAGCTCTTGCACCGCTGCATCGATAACAACAACAACATCTCTCGCTATCCCCTACCTTAAAACTGACTCAAAGTAACGCTGAAAATTTCGAGAATATCATGAACATTTAAGCAAACGCTTCATAGTTCAAATATTCCTGTGTGGATTTCGAAGCCTAACTGGGGATTGCGAGGGGAAAAACAGACAGCTTGTCACCCCCCCCCCCTTTTTTTTTTTACACCCTCACGCAATAAACGTGTCGTTAAAGCCGATTAATTAATTAGAGGTTTTTCCTTCCAAGTCAGAGCTTCTCTGAGAATCGAGGAACCAACGATTTGTTTACACGTAAGCGAGATTTGCGGAACTCAAGTTCAGGAACACGAATGAAATGTACAAGTAGATAACAGCCAGGACTTTCTGTCGGGGTTTACAGCTGATGACAGCAAAGAAAAAGAAGATGAACATCAAATCGGCTCTCTACTAAAGCGTGAGTGCCAGCCAGACGCGGCTAGGGTTCCTCTCACAGAGTGCGGCTACACGCGGCTGGTGTAACTCTCAGAGAGTGCCGGCTACACGCGGCTGGTGTACCTCTCACGGAGTGCCGGCTACGCGCGGCTGGTGTACTTCTCATGGAGTGCCGGCTACGCGCGGCTGGTGTACCTCTCATGGAGTGCCGGCCACACGCGGCGGGTGTACCTCTCATGGAGTGCCGGCCACACGCGGCTAGTGTACCTCTCATGGAGTGCCGGCTACATGTGGCTAGTGCACCTCTCATGGAGTGCCAGCTACACGCGGCTGGTGTACCTCTCACAGAGTGCCAGCCACACGTGGCTGGTGTACCTCTCACTGAGTGCCGGCTACACGCGTATGGTGTACCTCTCGTGGAGTGCCGGTTACACGCGTCTGGTGTACCTTTCACGGAGTGCCGGTTACACGCGTCTGGGGTACCTCTCACGGAGTCCCGGCTACACGCGGCTGGTGTACCTTTCGTGGAGTGCCGGCTACAAGCGGCTGGTGTACCTCTCAAGAAGTGCCGGCTTCACTCGGCTGGTGTACCTCTAATGGAGTGCCCAAGTTTTAACTATGTTTTCCTAGACCACACGGGGTATCAAGGATCTGCCCTGCTGGCTTTCCATTCAGACATAGATTTTACAATTTCATCGTTATCCAACGTTTAGTTAGTAGCCTGTTTGGGGTGGGGAGGGGAGGGGGGGAGGGGGAGGGGGGGGGAACGAAAGGTGTGAGAATGATAGCAGACAGTGCACGTGGGAAACTGGACTGCCGAGCTCATCATACAAGCATTTCTATTTGCGTTAACGTGTCAAATGTG